CTCCATCGGGAAACGATTGGAAAAATGCTCGCGCTCCAACGTCTGAGAAATAGAAACCAGGTGACTGGTGGAGGGTCGAAAATCGAGTCCGGCAAGAAGTAACGAAACTCGAGGACTCGTTGTATTCGGTTCTCCTCGGCTTCTTACGCGTTTCTCCAGCTTTTTTGCTCGATCTCGCGAGCGGGATGGTGGGTGGTGGAGAGGGTGGGGGGTGGGATGACAAGGATACTTGGTTACTCTCCTATCCTCCTACCCCCCGTCATCCCTCGTTTGTCGGGAAACACTCGTGTCGTCGGGTCGTCGGAGCCTCTCGTTGCGTCCCATTGAAATCGGAGTCGTCGACTGGCGACGGTCGCCGCTAAAAGGAATTTCAAATTAATTTAAACGAACGCGAACAGTCTCCGCTAATAAGTCAGCCCGCAAGATTAAAGATAAATTACCTGTTTGAATATTCCCCTTGCGGGGTCTTCATCGACTGACGGAAATTACATGACTGACCTCAGCGTGACGCTCATTTTTTGACCTTTGTACATTGCGATACACTTGGATTTCAAGATTAAACCTTGATGCAGAGTTATTTCTTAAAATAATAAATTTTACCCCATAGCGGAACAAAAGGCAGTTGGCAGAGTTCACGCAAAACATTCATTATTTTTTAATTCAATTGCATTTATTAATGTTAGTATAACGTAAAGCATTCGAAGAATATTGAACTCTGCTTTGTGTCGAAATTGAATATCAGAAGAGCTTCTAATGCGAGGAATAGTGTGTTTGTTAGGAGTGAAAGGTTCGAAGCGTGGCTCATGCGAGACAAAGACCATATCCAGCTCGCTTTCGCCCAATTATCGTGGCCCACGTTGCGTGAACAAGAGTGCACACGCAGTGTTTTTCCGACACCTGTGGCGACGAATGCCGGCGTTGCAACAATAATGGTACTAATTAACTGGTTCTCCGCGGCTCTATTAACCAATCCACATGGCTCTGTCCTCTTCTTGGAGATCACTGGTTCTTAACCTTTAACTATTTCAGAACTAAAATTAAAAGTTTTAAACTGATAGTTATTCCAAATTAAATGTTCCTCTTCGTTGTAATCTAGTTGCAAATCTAGTTGCAAAGTATATAAAAAGAAATCAAAATTCATGAATTCTACGGAGCATTAGTGGCGAAGAATCATTGTTATAGAAAGTGGACGCGGTTTGATGTCGCGAGTCCGACTTCCTGGTCTTTTCGACGGGTCTCCTCTCGTGGGGCGCGGTTTGCAGCCGATCCAAAGCTCGACAGAGCGGGCGACACATGTGGAAAACCACATATCCTTCCTGTCGAGCGTCCACCATCTGCCCTTCGCGGCGGCCACTTCCGCTCATCGGTCGACCAGACTCTTTGAGCCCTCTTTTGGTCTTCTTTGTTCTCGCTGGTATTTCCTTCTTCCGCTTCTCTTCGATCATTTTATTCCCTCTTTTATTTAAACACTTTATCGTATCAACCTTTTCCAAATTTCATAGTACCTCGATTCACTTCATCTGGGACGAAACGGAAGCCAACTTGTGCAATCCTCGGTATAATCCTCAATGGTAATTATCCACGAGGAACGTGGTATTTCCACACGGAGAAAATGTCTTGTTCATCTTTTACCATTTATGAAACTTTGAACTTCGTCCTTCGAATTTTCCCTGCTTCCTTTCTCGCGGCACAATTCAGAAGGAGACATTTAATCTCCCCGAGTCGAAGGCACGGTTCAGAGGGAAAGATAAATGCGTTAAAAATCCTAATGGCACAAAGAGAAGGAGAATTAGCGAGGTAACAAACCCTAAATTTCGAAACTGAAGTTAGCGAGGCGAAGTCAAAGAATTGAAACCGTAATCTCTCTTCCGGGAGAAAGAACGTTCTCCACAGGTGTTGGGGCACAATAGCGTTACAAAATCTTTTGTTCCTTTATGATATCCAATCCAACTGCTGGATAATCGTTTCGGTGTTCTTTCGTTCCGGAGGAACTTTGTCTGTAATTGTTCACTAATTATTCATAATTTCGGTATCCATTATATTCTCGTATCGTTCCTACGATATAGAGAAAGATATAGAAGGGTACAATCCATCTCGTAATATCGACAAACAAGCCTCCTTGCATCCTTGCAACAGTAAATACATCTTTTTAATACTTCCTTTGGTTTGTAAACGATCCTTCTTGATCGATGTCAAACGTTCGATCAACAATGGGAAATACTTGTACTTAATCAATCGCAGCCGAGCGAAGGATTCTTTGTGTCGCAAAGGGTTGAAAAGCATTATTAAACATTCCTGTCAGGGCACGATAGAGGGAGGGCATTGATTCGATGAAAGACGGGAATCGATGCGTCTTTCCAATCGGTTTTCGTCGCTTCCCAAGCGTGCTCTCAGGTCTAGACGCAGCCGTTCCTCCTCGTTTCTCAATTATCCTTATTTTTCCTCAGAAGCTGGTGCCTCTGTCACGTTGTCCTCGTTCGCCCCGTGGAGAGAGAGATCGAACCTGTTTACGTTCACGATCCACCGAGCCCCTCTATTTATTCGAGGAAACTCAATTACTTACTGCCACGTGTACGGTCTTCCGGTTCCTCGAGCTGTCACAGTCTCTCAACAGAAACATTATGTCATTGTTAGCATCGTTACGAGTTTGGATGCTTGTGAGATTCCATTTTTCATTGGTTTCGTAAGTTGATGGAACAGTTTCTAGAAACTGATTCATTAGGGAAGGGAAATGTTTGTGGCGAAGACTAGTTAGTGGCAATTGGAGGGACCGCAGGTCGAGCAGTGGCCCTCGATGCCATCGTACCCGATATATGAACTAAATGTATCGGCGGATGTCGTTGGATAGCATTATGATGGATTTGCTAGTGTTACTTTTAATTGAAAAATGAATGTCTAGAGGGATCTTTAGTTTTAGATTAGTCTAGTCTCTCAACGGGTCTATTTTTATAAATAAGTCGAACTTATGATACAATACGGTTAAATAACCAGAGCCGACCTAACCTACCCCATGATTCTTCGCACTCCTCCAATTTTACGCAGCCCCTTTCAACCTCACGCGGGTTATTAAATTTTTGCGCTCCAGTTGAGATTGACAGTCGGTTTGCCTCGTTAATACCTTTGATTTTGTCCCCAATTAGTCGACTTCGATTTGATCTACAAACTGTGTTTGCATTTCCTTGGAGTGTGCTGGAGCTGACAGGATATTATTCCTTCGCCACGATTTTATTAACCCACTTAATATTTTACGTTTTAGAAGTCAGCTCATAACGATAAGAAAACTGTACATTTTAATTTCCCGTATCTTTAAGATTTCATTATTCGATCCTGTTTTTAATTATTCTTTATCTTTTTTGTTGCAGGTAAGTTGAGAGCAACGTATATCTGCGATAGTGGCTGTTAACGTGAGTAACATTTTGATTAACTGAAAGGGTTCGTTGACCTCTTCGAAGATACCGAGATATATACGTGTGTTCATGTTACTTCAAACATTGGAACAGAGGCAATCACTACAATCGTTACCAAATATTCGTAATTAAATTTCGCGGCGATATACCACGTCAACTTCGTCGCAAACTCGACAGATGCCATGGGTCGATATCAATTAGTGCTAATAATTAATTGCTAATCAATGTTTGAACAGGCCCCATAGAGAGATTCCAGATCAAACCTTACTGATGGCAATACAAAGGCCAAGCCTAGAGTGATAATAGAATTTAACAAAGGTCCTAATTCAAACAATGGTGAACATCATTCGTGCTCGTAACTATTGAGTACATGCTTAATGTCCAAGTCTCTTCGCTACATTAATCCATAATTAAGGAAAATGATGCTCATAATTAGTATGGCCTAGTGCTTACACGTTATTTGCAATCAAATTTAAGAAATTTTCTACCACCTACAGAATCAATGGTCACACTTATGAATGATGTCTGATACTAAAATAAAAATAAAATTCATCTGTACTCCCCTCGAGCAACCGAAGCTATTCCAGAGCATCTCAATTCTTAATTAGTTAACAATGAACGAATCAACCGCGAACACTGGTCGATTAGCAGCGATTTACATGGCGAAACATGACCCGCGTCACTTGGCCCGTTCTCGCTCGTAAATATTCAAGCTCATTAACGTTATTTCGCGTGACAATTCCACGAGAAAAGTCTTTCTCGAGCCTCGAATGCGCCTCGAGTCTGTCGCGGAGACGTTGCATTGGAATTCGATCGATCGAATCGCCTCGCTTTCCCGACTCCTTCGCTCATTGAAAACTTGTAACGAGGCTTTTGTAATGCGAGCCATTCGGATGCAAATGCCCCCTCGGGTTTCTTCTTGACAATTCGCTTAGGAACGACTGATTTAACGATTAAGTGCGACGAGGGGAAGTCTGCGGTTCGAACACAGGTCAATCGTTTAGCTATTCTTCGGCTCGCTCCGACGCGATGAATTGATCTGTGCTTTTTCCTTCTGCGTTCAATGGCTACGCTACCGATACCCTTCTTTCTTTCCTTGGCCTCTCTATTTCATACTGAAATACACCAGAGGAACGTTAGCTCGAGTCAGAGATGGGGCAGAATTTTATTTGAATAACGCAGTCATTGTTGGCATTGCCAGGGGAACTCAGGAGAAATAGTTTTTTTTTTAAAGATAGGAAATTTGAAATGGTAGCTAGAGACACACATTTTACCTAACATTGGCATTATTTTCTTGAAGAAGAGAATAGAGATTTCAGTATTTATTACAAGGTCATAGTGTGTTAGGTCAGTGTGAACTACATCATTCAAATTTTAAATCTTATTGAACGACTTTCAAGTAATATCTTTTACCTCCATGCAGTAGCTTGAGAATGTAACCTTTCCGCTTTGAGAATATTTTAATATGAATGTATGTACCACAAAGAAAATCGTAACAGAGTTGAGCGTATCTATTACGTCTCTCCAGCTAGGTGAAATGTCTCAAAAAGTATCTCACGATTTACCAAACTCGTTGAAGGAAGAAACATCGACTCAGTGAATATTCAGTGCATATATTTAACGCCCCTGTTGAGCAGAAACGACCGACACCTCACGGTTGTACAGCTTATCAAAGAACACAGCAATCATTCCTACAAACATTCATCATACTCGCTATCACGCTTCCGGAAGCGCGAAGACGTTTCGGCTGGAAAGAACCAAGAGTAGAAGTCAATAATCGCAATTAGTCCTTGGGTTCGCACGCTCGATTATCATTCGACTTCTAACCACGAATCGCGTGTTTGCCGAAGCTATAAGAACACATAGTAGACGATAGCCAGGACGACGAGGCCCACAGCTATCATCGTGGTCTGGGACATCCCTTGTTCCTCTTTCTTCTCTGTTGATTTCGTGGTTATGCTGCTCGTCGTCCAGCCCTGTTTAGGCGTCTTATTGGTCCTCTCGGACTCGTGCAGCTCGCCCACCACGTACTTCTTCATCAAGTCGAACGCGTCTTGGGAATGGCCCACGTCGTCGAAGTCCTCGGAGCCATCCTTGCCCGCGTGATCCAGCAGGATCTCCTCGCCTCCAGGGTGCTCGTTCAGGAAGTTGGTGACGTTGTACACCTTGTCGTGGAGGATTATCAAGGCGTTATCCTTGGTGCTTCCTGTGGTAGCCACCTGGCTCTTCGTGAATTGTTGGCTCATGCTTCAGCCGGGATTCTGGACGTCACTGAGTGAAACCTGGGGATACAGAATACGAATTAGTGGTTTGCTACGAATTCACACTTCTGGAGTTGGAGATGGAGATGATTGTTTCTTCCGGTACTGGAATTATTGCATAGTTTAGTGTTTATTATTTTGAGAGCTGTTTATTGGGAAATTAGTTGGCTCGTAACTTGTTGGTCTGAATGTGGAATGCGTATGTTTTTAGAGCAAGTAGTGGTAATTTTATACAAAGTTTGATTACATAATCCAACTTGTCAAACCATAGTGAATCAGGTGTGTAAAACATAACGATTTGCTTCAGAGGTTTCCGATGTGTATAATTATAACTTTTTGTAGTCGAACGTTTGAAAACAAGCAACATCATGACAAAGTATAGCCCTTGGTCGTTCTTTTTTTTTTTTTTTTTTCTAACATACAAGGAAAAAACATCATCTTGGACGTGTAAATAGTCGTGTCACGCGTGGTCCTTGGACGACCAACCCGGATAAACTGCTATACGTTGATTCTGTTCGTCGGTAATTATTCGAATCAATGTTTTAAATAAAAATTAGAATTTGAATTGTGGAATTAAATGTTTCATTGAATCAGAAATTAATGTCGGTTTTATTCATTATCAGTTCGAATGCTATTATTAACACAGGCAATAGCATCGAATCGCGGTCGTCTATCGATTATAATGTTAATTTTCTGTTCGTGGAGCGTTAAATCGATACTGAACGTTCTCTGGTCGTCTAGTTTCAACTTGTTTATTCGGTTAGTTAATAGTAGGTTCTCTATGACGAACAACCGATACGATACGCTTTTATCGTGTTTGCGTTTGTCGATGCGTATTATTTGGGTAGCTTAAGTTCGATGTATTTTAGACGATTTGTACTCGCGACGATAACATTTCTCGGTTCCGGTTATATAAGAAATTGTTTACTCGCCGTGCAGAAAAACGATGACAATGCTATATCGAGCCTGATAACGAGCCTGTTCGAAACAGTTTCTCGGTATCTTCGTTTCTGTTTGATCGAGCAAATCCTCAACATTGTCAACTAAAAACAGTATATGAAAAAATAATTTTTCTTTGATAATACAGAAAGCGTCTTAAATTAAATATCGTAAACAGTTTATTACTATCCTCTTTTTCGTGTTGTGCTGAATCAACTGGTATCGTATAAACGCCACAGTTATTATTAGGTTTTAATCACCAGAACGAACTGACCCACATTAGATATTATTCTGATTAAATGATCACTTTAAAGAAGAGTCGTCGGTTGTAGTTTCACGATTATGCAAGGAATAACAAGGAACTGGACTGTAATAAGGGTTTAATTATTGCTATAGACACGCTATTTTTCGATGAATCATCTTTCCAGGAAAATCTTTAAGTCACAGAATCTTTTCTCCAGATACAGAAGCTAGAAGTGTAAACAAAACTGTGGAGTGGCACTCTGATTTGCAGCTTATGGTTGTTTAAATTATTAGAAGTGTATGGATTTGCAAAGCTATCGTTGAATTTCTGTTCTCTCGAGAAATAGTATGTGGCGTGTTATAAAACACGATGTAGCCAACGAATAACGCGATATATCCATCAAATGTAATTGCGCAAAGGTCGTCGAGATTACACGATCAATTGAACGATCTCTTCACTTTTCCAGCGTTAGTGGCGTAGCTATCATCCTAAGGAATTAGTTCAAAGTCAAATAACAGATTCTACACCAAGCCATACGGAAATTGTCAATTGACGATCACAATGAACAAATAAAAATTAGAATTTTTTTATAGAATCTTCAATAAAATATAAACGGGTGCGCAGTTTCCAAACAACTACAATTCTGTAATTAACGATAGTTCAATCGAATCAACCAATGCTTGGATATCCCTGAAGAGGTTCTTCAAAATGAAGAAAAATTTGTTAGACGACGGGTTTAATTAGCGATAGCTATTAATGATGACTCTAAGTGAAATAATCGCTATTTAAACTGGAGTCGTCTTATCCTCGAGTGTTTATTTGCTTCGTTAATGTTCTCGTGACTCGTTTATAAACGTAGCTACGTAAGTTACTATTCCTCGCTGTCTTCCACGCGTGGGCGCACCTCCATTCCGTTTCTTTCTGCGTTTAAGAATTTCGATAATGTCGACGAACCTGAGTCATCGACTGTGGCCGAAGATTGGCAGAGAAATAAGGCCATATAATTGCATTCCTGTAACTAATTCGTACTTTCCCCACTGCGATCTCATTAATCTTTACATCAGCCCACTCAACTTTATTATACTTCATTTTCCACGAAACGAAGAACGTATACTTCACAAAAGAAGACAGCGGTACACTGGTAAACATCTTCAAGAACCTAGAAAACCTTGGAACCTTGGACCTTCCTCAAAAGATAAATATTTTCCGAGAATATCTATCTTCTACCAAAAAGAGTCACTCTTGGCATCCGAAGGACAGAATCCCTGAAAGACACCGACGCCAGGCGCCGCTCAGGCGTCGTCGTTGGGCGTTCACGAGGCCAGGAATTATGCGCTACGTGTTTCACGAGGCCACACGGTCGACGCATATTACTCACTTCCTGCGGTCGAGTTCTATGGATGGAAACTCGCGACGATACGACGTTGCTTTGGGCACGTACCTTCTTGGCTTGCTTTTCGAAAACCCGTCGTTCTCGATAGGGTCGCTCGATTCTTTCGCTCCAATCGGGTTTCTCCGTGAGATGATTCACTGATCGAACGCGAACGGAGGAATCGTGAAATTCTATACGCGGCTAGATGCGTGAAACGGTTTCCTCGAGAAGCTGCACTGGCGCAAACACTGCACGATCCGGCTCGGTTCCTACTAGCTTTATCCTTGCCCCCTCTAGATGCTGCCCCACCACGAGGCATGCTTATCATCCGAGGCTCCCACTCGTTCACGATCTCCAACGACGGGATGAGAACCGTCGAAGACCTCGCGGAATCTGTCGGGGAACCTCTGCTCGTGGAGCTGTTGATGGAATTGGACTTGGGTTGCCAGCCTGGTCGTAATAGTTGGACCCGCTGTTGTTTTGCCTCGTGGAATGATTGTTTTCTGTGGTAATTGTGGAGGTCGAAAGAAAGAGGTCGGTGAACCGATTTTAGAGACACCGTTTCAAGATCCAGGACGAGTTTGTCGAGCACTTGACCTGGTTCATTGTGCATGGTAGCCCGACGAAAGGGTGTTGTTGGTTTACGAATATTTTTTGGAGTAAAAGAGAATTAAATGAAGGTATTAGCTGATCTTTGATGTGGATATTATTTAGACTTGGTTGTAGAACATTTGTTTTCCTTGGAGGGATGATTAAGCGTATTTAGGATTGATAAGTCAGTTTACGAATCATTTAATATCTCCTGCATCCCATGACGCTAAAATAAAACTTGAGAGACGTTGGCAAATAGTGGAGACAATCTGATAATAGCATATCGGTATCCGATAAGTTTATTTTCGAAATGTTGCTAAGTAAGCATAGTTTATTTTATATAAACGTTACAACATTTAGTTATGTTCTTCTTGTACAGATTGTATCAAAATATGTTCACATTCAAATGGAAAAGTATCTTAAACTTTACGTAATATAAATAGAGCTTTTATGCGACATTGGGTCCGAATCAATAGTTGGACATTCGCGTTAAATAAAGAATCCTTCTCCGTCTCCTCTCCCCTCCTGCCCGGCTATATTTACCCGAATATTTATTTTGAATACAGCGAACGTGTACACATTTTTCAGGTCGATCGATAGACTCAGCACTCACGTGACCATTCGAGGTTGCCCAAAATCCCCCTAAACGCTACCGTATCCTCCAGGAAATACCAATAAACGTGTTGTGTATACATCGCGACGCGTTTTCGGTGTTCTTCGGCTCAAAATAGCCGCGTTATCACGCAAACGTACTTATTACCGGGCCGTCGTCTTATCGTCCTGGTTCATCCCCCGCGAGTTGTTTTGTTCCGACGAACCAATTTTTATCTCTGCCGCTTTTTCATCAAAATTTATGCTCGGTAATAAAGAAAATTTCGCTCGTAATCTCGCCGCGGATTAAGGTGCAATTTTTCGCTCCGCGGGTAAATACTTCTTTAACCGTTTAACGAGGGGATGCTCGCGGAATTTCGTAGCGCGCTGGCTCAAGGTGGTCTGGCGGTTTTTGCTGAAACCTGTGTTCTCGCTGTGATTCTCTTTTTACTGGAAAAAGCGAGTCGATCGAGGAGAGAAGTAAATCAAATAAAACCTGGACTCCGGGTAACTTTCTACTTTTCTAATTACTGAAATAGGAATTAGGGTGTGCAGGGCTCCTTTAATGAGGTACTACTCGTGTTTTCGAACAACGTTTATATGAAGTGGTTATCTGGAACGTTTACTGCCAATTGTTTATTGTATATGGAATATTTAAACAAAATTGTTTCATTTATATGTATACACACTGGTGATATACTCTGTCCACGTAATTAAGTAGTCCATAATAAATACCATAGTATGCAAAATATTATATTATTCACAGAATGATATTTTTTTTTAAATGTAGTGAGATAACGATTACGTACAATGGCAAGGTTGGTACCTCTTTCCAGCACAATTTTCATTTGACGGTCGTATAATAGCATAGAGTGTAGCGATATGAGTAAGCACCAATTTCTGTTCGATAAGATCAGGAAATGTCGAATACGCAGTTTACAGTGACTGGCAAAGAGTCATGGTGCTCAATGTGGCGGTTTATTATTCGTTTCTAAATCGAGGTACCGCGGTTAGAATTTCAGCAGTTGCGAGCTGCAAAAATTCTCTGCTTGTTCTTATGGGTTTTTGTAATGCTACGGTGTTTCTACTGAAACGAGGACTGTTGGGTAACGGTTCCCTAGAAATTATGTTTTGTTAATTTACAACGTAATGGTTGCATAGGAATAACTGTTAACTTGAAAAGTAGACGCTCATTAATTTTAGCGTTTGATTATCTCGAAAAAAAAAAAAATGACAGAAAGTTGCAGTACACTTTGTCAAGGTTTCGAAATCATATCTGGAAAAACAAGATAAAACCATAGATTGAGAAAATGCGTAGTGCCTTAGTTTAAATAATTCAAATCCTTTTAAACAGCGCTTTACCTATCGGTATCATTGTTTGAATTATGGAGAACCTCGTTTAGTGACAACTTTAAGGCCAGCCAAGTCAGACTGAATTCGAACGCTAAGTATTGATCGCGAGCGGTGCATCATCGCATGCGGACCTGCATCAGCCGCATGCAACTGCATTCAACGCGAACGCCATACCATGTACTATGTACCGTGACCTAAACCGATGTGAATGTAGCTTTATTATGCACCGGGGCGCTGACACCGTTCTCGTCGTGAACCCGATGATGGAAACCCAGGGCAAATAGGCTCTTTCATCGCATCTATTCAAAATGCCACAATACCTGTACAGACTATCTACGTTTTAAATTCTACAAATTATTTTTCTATCCTCTGTTCTCAATTAGTTCCCATATCTCCTGATAAACGACGATAACATTCGAAAGTAAAGGATGATTAGAAATTGATTAATCGATGGGACAGAGAAAGGGTAGAGGTGAATGGCATCGTAAGCATTTTTATCAGGTTACTTTCGAGCCGTTTCGTCATTCGCGTGAGAACAAATGGGTAGCGAACCTGGTGAAACAGTTTCCACTGAAATATATGCCAGTCACGGTGACGACAATTTCCCTCTTCGTGTGCCGTTGCTCGTGGTATACATTCTCAGTTTTATTTATTCGATACCTCTCTCGAAAATAAGATGCATTCAGAATTCGGTGTTTCGTGAAATAAAGTATGCCTCGATTCAAAGTTCAGGTGAATGCGCTTGTCTCGAGGATTTATACCAGATAAGCAATCGCTGTGATCGATGCAATTATTTTCTTTAACTTTATAATTTAATCATTTAACAACAACATATTTACATTTCGGACCAAATATTTTACGCATTCGTCAGAGATGTTTCCAGTAAACACAGGGATTTTACGATTGTACATTTTCTAATTTGTAAATATTTAAAGAACATGGATGGGTCGTGTATTGTAGACTTATGACAAGAAAAAGTAATAAATTATGATGGCGTAAATGACGACGCCGGCTGCGATTATAGTTGTAGCATGGCCTGGCGGCTCCTTTTCACTGTTTGCTGATGCAGTGTACTCCCAATTGTCGTCCTCTGCTGATGTTTCTTTTTCGACTGACAAACAGAAAATTTAGAAAACAGTTTAGAAATGTACAGAGCATGCCGGAATTATTTTCAACATCTACATGAAACGTTTATATAAAATGTTTACATGGTACGAATGTTTATTTATGCAACCTACCATTGGCGCCAGGTGATATATACGACGGTTTCTCGTCAAATGTTCCAGTCATCGTGCCAATTTTATAAGTCTCCCTAAGTTGCACAGCCTCCGTAGTGTGTCCTATGTCATCGAAGCATACGGTGGCATCCTTTCCAGCCAGATTCAGCAACACCTCCTCGCCACCTGGATGCTCTTTAGAAAATTTCGTGATATCGTACACGCCGTTTTTGTACACGATCCATAGATCACTTTCGACGTTGTGCTGCGACACCTCCTCCGCCGTGTAAACGTTCGACATCTTCCCTGATTTATTCTGAAAATCGATAGATTATTGCATCCATTAAGATTAGTGTAAATTATTCAAGTAGAAATGTCAGTGAAGTAGGTTATTAACCCCTTAAGGACCACGCCCGAGTATATTTTAGGACGGCTACTATGTGCCGAAAATCCCACTGTTGAGATAACTCGGGCAAGCTTTGAAAATAAATACGATTAGCCGCGAAAGTAAATACGATTTATGGTATGTAGAAGCGCAGATTTGTACAGTGTACGCGAGTTGTTTTAATTTCATTTTCACATATTTGTGTTAGGATTAATGTTACAACGATCAATCACCTTAGAGCTTCTTATTTTATTGAAACGAAATGATTAATTGCTATGTAAGACGTGACAGAGTGAATGCGGAATCATTTAGATTAAAAATTGAACTATGAAGGCCAGACACGAGACACGAAATTCTAGGCGTGCTAGTTTCACAGAACCTATTCTAGCTTCGATCTCGATAAAATCTCGCGACACTCTTTGAAAGGGAAAACAGGTCTGTCGTGTATCGCGAAACATCTGACACCGTCAGAAGGCAAGTGGTTCTATCTTATATTCCTCTCTATCTCGAGTGAAAGCGGATTTCCCCCAAAGAGAAATTCTATTTGAATTATCGATGGCCGATAAAGCAAACATATTTATAGATTATTGGATTCGTGACGTTTCCCCTATGAATGATAAATAAAAAATTATTTATCCGTTACTTAATAGAATACTCATCTCCGTGTTTCTGTTACATTGTAAAGTTTATTCAACCGCAGGTATTTTAAACGCAATGATATCTCGCGTTAGCCACGAGAGATTTTAGAGAATAAATTGTTGCGTCGCCAGAATTCACTCGATTTTACTTTTCACTCGAGGAAAGAGGCAGAAGATATGGCGAAGAAGCTAACGCTGTGTCATCGTGACCGTAGCATTTCTCGATTGAAATTCCAAACGATCACGAAACGTCGGTTCTAGTTCCGTTTTATGTACTTGCTTCCGTGAGAAATTCTATTTTATTTATATGAACTGCTGCCTCTCGAAGACTGTCGAATCAGCAACGAGTACGTTTCAATGTAATTTAATAGTATTTTTAAAATAGAAGAAGATACATTCTAGTATTAGTATGCAATTTCATATAAAAGAACAAATATTAATCTATATTTTCTGTATCAGTGTTTTTCGTACTTTTTCGATTAATGGAATCTACTCTCTGGCACTTTTTGTGTTACTTTTCGTATGACTATGTATATACTTCTTCTTTCTATATTTTTATTTCATATATTATCTAATTTTATCGCTTCGTTTATTGACGAATGAAGCCGGACTGTATTTAACACGTTATTGCACTTCGTCGAGGTCAGTAAAAGTTATCTACAGAATAGAATAATTTATAATATAAAAGTATCCTCTGCTCACTATTTTAGAATTCGTATGAAATAGCGAACAAGAGCTATATATAATACTTAACAAATCCTATTATTAAGTTATACAAATTAATCATGTTCTCACAATTCTGTAATTATATAACTTGCAACATAATTTCTCGATATGTATAATTTTCTTTGAACGCTTACCTTGAATTCTCGCTTGACCGGTTCTCGAGTCGAAGCTTAGAACAGACTGAGGAAGTAACTCTTTTCATACCTCTGAATAACGATTTCATGAAAATGCATGGATCAAGGTTCGTGTATACGACAAACGATCATTAACATAGAAATGTTGTACGTCGACTCGTGGAATAGTACATATCGAGATTAACGATTACTTTTTTCCAATGAAATTATAATAATAAACTGAAATGCCAACAATCGTCTCAGGAGCCTACGACCTATTAATATTCAAAGAAACGAATTATCCATCCTCTCGACATAAACTTAATTAAGTACCATAAAAAGAAGTTTATTATAGTTCTCTGCTCTTTCGCAAGCTCCTCGAGGATAAGTGAATATTCATAACACTGACATTGTATTTCACATTCGAGCCGTATAAATATTTGACCCGAACGAAGATGTAGCATTTGCTTAATAATATCCATATTTGCATGTTATGTACATCTATTTCTAACGTCAGTTCATCGCAGGTATTCGTGTTTATAGTCGCAGAAACTCGTTTGCAAATGTGAACATCGTCCGATGCGCTTATAAAAAATGTATATTATTTAAGATACTTGATTTGAAACCCAACACAGTGTCAATTAAACGATGATCGTTTTTCAGCTAATAAAATCGATTACAACTCAAGAATGATACAATTGAGTTTACTATGTTAGTATACAAAATTACTAAAATTAATTATAAAAAGTTGTAATTATTCCTTTCAAGAAAACCTCCTTTTTAATATATGTTTTTCTTATCGTGGAATTAAACGATCGTTTCTTATTTCTTATCTTTATAGTAAATAATACGAAAATGTGTAGAGTCTGTGGAGACCCCAGAGGGTTCCTCATGGTTGAACTTAAACATCGAGTCTACAGTTCATGAAACTCCACTCGTTGGGGAAACTCGTCCAACTTTTTCTCAACTTTTCGATCGACGTCCTTCATAGTTCGTGTTGAGATATCAACCCTTCCGCAATCTCACGAGTGCTTCTCCAGTTCGAAATACTTTCGATCGGATGGTAACTCAAACTTCCTGTCGCGACTCCGCGGGGAGTTCTCTGTACAAGAGGAAGCTTTTATCCTCGTTTCTTCCGAGATCCGTTAATTAATTATCAAACTATAGGCGGTCGATGTTGTCTCGACAAAGCGGGAGGCGGACGCCACGGTCGATTGCCGATCGTAATCGAGTTTCAGCGGATGGGTGGCACAATAATCTGTTTGCCAGCGAAACTAATCTCTGGGTATCGATTCGAGTAGCTTGGAATTAATTTTAACGTTGCTATTTCAATTCCGTTAGGTGACATTAGTAACGACCGTTGAATTATTAAGTTAAATAACTATTTCTGTGGGATTTATAAATATAACATTCAAGTGTCTGTCTCCTTTATAGTGATCCGAGGCAATTAGTATTCTCAGACTGTATTTTTGTAATTTTTATTAGACAAACGTCGCCATAAACGATCGACTAAAACCTGGAGAAGTTGCACAAACTCGACGGTATAAAACATATCATTAGGCTGACGACAAGGGTGCGCATTATCTTTACATCTCCACCCACCCTATATCAGCCCTTGCCCTGCCTTGCCTCGATTTTTCCCCTTTATCGTCAGCGAATAATTATACTAATATCACAGAAAAACATTGGCACGCGACGTTCCAAGGTTCGTCTCGACTTTCATTTCTTCAAGAAAAATAATAAAATACAGCCAGGTGATATTTTTATTTTGAAATTCAAAGGAATAGTTTAAGAACTTAGTATTATTGCCACGCTTTCATAATTCTATTACGGAACTCTAGGATCGCAATCACTCTCCCGATAAATTACAATAATATTCATTACGGTCGTTACTCTTGCGAAAGAACAAGAGCACATGGTGGCAGGCAAGAGAGGGTTGGAGAGATTAAAGGTGACCGAATGGCCAGGTTCGCCGCTTTTAACCCGACCCGTGTCTCTCGAAAGCACAATCTCGAGGGTGGTTGGCTGTTAACCAACTTGTAGCACGCGATACTCCCATTGGCGCCTAAGAATTGCTTAGGCGTCGAGTTATCGAACCGAGAAACGCAACGGGCAGCGATCGCGCGACGGTAGTTTCACTTTCTTTGCTGCTCGCCCCTCTGATATCCGCGATAATGACGCAGGTGACGCTGAAATGAAGCCCCGTTTAAAGATGGACACGTTATTTCATCTGAAAAAAGAAAACTTGATGCATTTGATTAATGATAATTTATTTTTTGTATAATAATAATGTATAATATTTATGATCCTTCAACTATGTTTTATTTTTGTTGCAGAAAACTGGAGCAAGGATCAAGATCTACTCGCACTGCTGCCCCCACAGCACGGATCGGCTGATCAGCATCTGTGGGAAACCCAACACGTGCATCGAGTGCATTCGCGAGCTGATCGCCACCATTAAGACTGTGAGTACATGAAGATTATATATAGAACGGTTGAACGTTCATTTACAAGAAGTAAAATCACAGAAGTAAAGTACAGAAGCCAAAGAGCCGCCAAGTTTCCATCTGGAAATCCTTCTTTTCCTCTATAGCTCGATAGCAAATTTCAAAAGAGACTTTCTCTCTGTTTCAGTCGCCGTTGAAGGGCGTGAACAACCCCTACGATCCGCACAACTTCGACGACTTCTACGCTGAAGACTACGGCGGCTATGGAAGCGGCGAGGGAGGTCAGGGCAAAGGAGGTGGCTTTGGCGGAGGGCCGGGAGGTCGTGGAGGCGGTGGAGGCGGTGGCGGTGGTCGCGGTGGCGGAGGAATGATACCAAGACGCGATCCTCGCAGTGACAACCGACCTTTCCCTATACCGCCAAGTGGATGCCTTCGAGGTGAGGGTGGTGGAGGCGGCGGAGGTGGTGGCGGTGGTGGTATGTCCGGTGGACCACCCAATCGCGGCTACGGAGGCAATCGTGGCAGCGGAGGAGGCGGAGGTGGCGGCTACGAGGGTGGTCGAGGCGGAGGATACGGAGGCAACAGGGGTGGACCTGGAGGACCACCGTACGGGGGTGGAAATTACAATGGTGAGTAGTTGGTTAATGATAATTTCGAAAAATAAAAATTAGAAAAATTATTCCTTCGTTTCTTTCATAATTAAGGCTCTATTGTATCACCCATCATCACACGATTGTTACATTTTCCGCAGGCGATGGATGGGGTATGCAAGGAGGCGGTGGAGGTGGTGGTGGAGGCGGAGGAGCGCCGAATGGTTTGGGTGGCGGAGGCGGCGGCGGCGGTGGAAACAACTCTGGAATGAGTGGTCCACCCATGGGTGGCGGTAATAATCAAGGAAACCAGGGCAACATGGGTGGAAACAAGACCAGCACTCAAGTCACCATTCCTAAAGACGTAAGTAGATCTTTAATGAAAACAGTATCATCGGTGAATATTTTGCTGAATGTTCCAAGTTGCTAACTTTCGATGTGTCTTCTGTTGACAGCTTGCTGGAGCCATTATCGGCAAGGGAGGCGCCAGAATCCGTAAAATCAGATCAGACAGTGGCGCTGGTATCACTATAGATGAGCCGTTGCCCGGAAGCAACGATCGCATCATCACCATTTCCGGGATGCCCAGTCAGATACAAATGGCCCAGTACCTGCTGCAGCAGAGGTAATTGGTTGCACCATTACATTACTATATTTTTAGTCACATTTTCAATCCAACTGCATATTTATACTCTCTTTGCTCATCCATTTTAACGACGAACTCTAACGACAGGAAGGTCATTTAGTGAATAGAACGTAAGCGCAATTCATAATTAACAATTAACATTTAAATCGTGTTTTCATGTAACCTGTGCTCGTATCGCTTTATATTCGAATATGTAACCGTTTTCGTTTACCATTGTATTTAAAAGCGTAATTGAATTACAAAACTTCTGTGAGACATTTAGTCCTTCCTTTGTATTGTAATTGCGTTTTTTGGAAAGTATGATTTCCTCGTGTGGAATGTTTAACAAATCGTGCGCAAATTTGTATGGAAAATATTAACGTGAATTGTAACACACGAATGGAAGTGTATTTACTCGTCTTCGAAACAGCAAAACAAATTCACTTTTATTAGTTAGATGGATCAATCGCATACGGACCAAATAAAATGTATCAAATACTTTTAGTACCATAGCCTAGATACATTAACATTGCCAGTCGTACGCCACCACGCCGATACCACAATTAACATCCGCTTATCACCACTAGCGATATTAACAAGCGCCCTGCTCTCAAGTTCACGTCAGCCAAGCAACTAATTCCGCTTCACGTATCGTTGCATCGTGTTCGTCTCATCCCGCACGAGGAACTAACAAACATTAACCAAAAGAAGGAGGGTAGAGAGAGAGACAGAGTGAGTGAGGAGGTTGTGACTCTCGAGGGAGGTGGAGGAAAAAAAAAAGAAAATGGAAGGTGGACCGTGAGACGAATGGAAACGCTATTGAGAACGTGTCCATGAAGGTCTGCTAGACTCAACTTAATGGGGGACTAATCGAGTGCCGTTGTATGGAAGACTAGTGATTTTGTTGTTCTACTTTCGATGTAACAAGGAATCACTAATCATCCTACGAAGGCACTCGCGATCGTCGGCTTCCGAGATCTGCTTTTGGAACTAACATCAACCCCGCTGAGGCTCCATTTTGTTCGTGGAATACGTGCGACACGATCTTCGCGCTATAACGAAGTGAAACCCTGTTCTGTCGCTTGGGAATCTATTGTGTATGTACACTGTACGTAGAAACTAGCGTAGTCTGGGCTGTGGTAGATTAACGGTTACCATGTATGCGATATTAATCAGTAAGAAGCTCCTATTCCTAAGGATGCTATAGGATTACATGAATCCTGTGAACCTTGTATGTTAGCTTGGTCGTTGTTACTCTTATGTATGTCTCTGTGTATGAGAGTTGCGTATTGGAGTATGCGGGAAGATGAGGTCACGCTATACTGTGAATTTACTATTTAATATGGACCTCTTAGCTATAGTTTAGTTTATATTTTTATATAATAGTACGATAAAACGGTTAAACTCGAGGCTAGGCGTTGGATTGCTTGAATTGACCAAAGCGCTATTAAATTAGTACATTACACAATTGCGATATCAGATGGATCTAATTAGATATGATTATGTTTCCTCTGTTGCAGCGTGCACGAGAATGCAGACCATTATTAGGACGTGGTGAAGGAAGCATTCGGGGGGAGCCAAAGATGCGTTTGTAATTTTTTTAGGGATACTTCGCAAACGGGCAAGCATATTCACGCAAGAAGTGGAAACTGGAAACATAATAAACCTACGGACATCATCCGTATAAAGGAAAACCATACGCACGGAAACACACAGGTTTCTTCTTGTGCGTTGCCAGACGAACAAAGCCTCTCTCAGGAAGTAAAACTCGATCAGCCGGACTCGACAAGGAGAGAATCATAATTTCGATTCGATGGATCTGCCTACAATGAAAAAAATAATCAGTTCTACGCCTGCCTCTTTCAAGAACCAGAAATCCAGGAACGTAAGCAACATTTTTTCTCGTCTAAGAAAGGCCAAAGAAAAAAGCATTGTTCCCGTACGCTGAAAAATCGTTCTCGCGTACGCGTTTCATATTCCCCCCCTTCCCTATTTTATTTTTTAATCGTTTTGTGACGCATAACTTTTGTCGACGTCTCCGGACGAGCTTTGATAATCATTTTTTCCGTTTACTTCCCCCACGTGTTTTTTTGTTCTTTTTTCTTTTAATACTATTGCAATCGGAGGATTCGAGGCGACCGAATCGCGCGCACGCGGTTCATCGCAATATCGAATTTTAAAGCGCACACATTATTGTCTACTTTTCCCTTCGCCTGCTCGCTACGGAAACCCAACGGTGGCTAAATAATATCGTAACAGTAAAAAGCTTATGGCATAGGTCATGTCGTTCTTACGAAGAGTATCTACTCGTGCATTTTGTATTTCGCACAAGTACTTCCGTTTCATTATATTTTGTATCCTGTCGAGGAGTCCAACACTTGAAAATAAACATTTATAATTAACATAAATGAAGTGCAATACTTGGAAACTAAATTTATGCTGGATATCTTCCCGTATGAATTTAATTTCCATCTATTATGATTTGGTAATATATACCAGGCGTATTTATTTTCAAATGATGGGCTACTGAAGTTCAAAAATTGCAATTCAAAAATTCTTTTGGTCGAGGAACCACCCTTCCGAGGTATCTCGTACCTACCGAAATAGCCACTAAAGTAATAGTTTCTTGTAGCGAAAGGGTTGGAGGCCGATACGCTAAGAATCAGTGGAAAATTTAGCGGTAAGATCAAAGGAAGGAACGGTTAACCGAGAGAAACAGAGAGTGGAGAAAGACAAAGAAACGTAGCGGGACAGAATTATTCTAGTACGCGGAATAAATTTTGTATATACATATAAAGAAAGAAAAAAAAAAACGAAAAGCTGCTACAAAAAAAACACGGAAAAAAGGAGCCACTAACAGATATCCATTTTCTTTCCTTAATCGTCACGTACCCACGTTTCTGCTGTTGCATCATGATTATTATTATTATTATTATTATTATTATTATTATTATTATTATTATTATTATTATTA